GCTCCGATATCGCGGCTACGCGTCTATTCCGAGTATCACCATCGCTATCGCATCGGGCTGGCCGGGATCACCGGTTCGATCGAAGGGAGTCACGCGTGAGGACCACGGTGGGACCCAGGTGGCCAAACGGGTGTGCTCCGCAGGGGGTGACGACTGGCCGTGGATCGACCGAGAAACAGGTTCGAATCTCTCTGCGTGCATGATACAGTGGGGGAAGGATGTCGGGAATGTAGAATATAGAGAGTTGGAAGTTTTTTTTTAAGACCGATTCGTCGAGAGATCGACGGATAGATACGAATATGTGCGTGCATTCGAATAGGCGGAAAAATAATCTTATCTTTGGAGGAATTAATATAAAAATATATTAATATTTTTACCATTTTCGTGTAAAATTTTATCAATATTGTAGACGAGTCGCGCAACAGATAAGCTATTAGGACGCGAGGTGACTAGCACGAAAACAAGGTTATATATACACCGGCCGAATGTTTATGTTACTTTTTTTCTCCTCGTGTTATCTCGTTATAACTGCATTTGCTACGGAATTTCTCTCGAAACGAGCGACGCGTTTATTTCTTTTTACGTTTTTATTCCCTTCCACGCTCGTTTCGACCTCGAATTCGAACATTATTAAATTTCAATGTATCCCTCTATTCCATAAACGTCCAACTATTATTCATTCTTCTTTTCACCCATTCCATATATATATATATATACATATACTACAAATGGGAATAGAATCGGTTGAAAACTCGTCCTCTAAATCGTCGTCGAGATTTTAATTCGACGTCTCAAAGCGGCAAAAAGTGGTCAGCGAGTAAAGGGTGGAGGAGGAGGAGGAGGAGGAGATCGAGGTGGGAATAGAGTGGCTGGAAGGAGCTCGTCGTCGTGAAACAGAGCTTCGTCGTCGGGCCTACGGAGAATAAGCGAGAGAACAAGTGGGAACGAGAAGGAAGGACGATGAGGAGGGGGAGCGCGTGCGCGAAGGACAAAAGAGTTGGAGGAGGCCGAGAGAGAAGGCTTCTCTTTTCCTGCGCGCTTTTCTCAGCCCGCGGGCGTCGTTCCCTTCTTCTCCTTCTTCCTTTTCTTTACCCTGCTCCCCTCTTCGCCGCCCTCTTCTTTCTTTCTCACCCCCTTCAGCCAGCGTGCTAAATTATTCCTGACCCCCTTTGACACTTGACAGTGGTGGCAGTTCCGGTAATTGTGCCTCCTCTATCTTCACCTCTCCAGACTCGAGTTTCACTTTCCTCGCCTCCGCCTTCGTCTTAACCGGAACTGTTTTCTGCCCTTTCTTCTCTTACCTTCCGTTCCAGGCTCCCTCTTTCGATCGTATTGTTTCGTTAATCGCCGTTAATCGATTCAATAGCTAGATTTGGTACCTCGAAAACGATTTTTATTCCATGGATGTTTGGCGAGAGATTGATACATCTTTATTTCTGTTCCTTGGAAAAATTTTTCAAAATTGTTTTAAATAAGATACTAATCGAATATTTATCAGATTATTCTATTCTCGATAAATAAAGTTCATAAATAGAAATTTTTGAAAACATTTTTTCGAGTTAATTAATTACTATTGCAACGATTCGATTTGTATTCCTTTCTTTTTCTCTCTTTCTCATTACGCTCTTCGCTTCCCTCCGTATTTCCGGTAAATAACGGAAGGAAGCTTTCCCAGACGTCTTCGAACTGGTGTGCCATTCGAAACAAAGGGACACTCGAGTCGGCGAAAATCCCCTGTAGAAGGTGGTGGAGATCCAGCAGTTTCTCATCTCTGCCCTATTTTCCAACGCCTCTGCGGTAAATACCGCCGGTGACTTCAACCCTTGCCCTCGAGACACGAGGACAAAGGGAACTTTCTGTGCACGGAGTGTCGAGGGGGGTGTGGACGATAATTTACAACTTCAAGGAAATGATCTCGATAAATTTATTATTTTAAGGGAATCGCGTTGAAAAATTCAATCCTTCAACAAACATTTTACTCTTATTATTTAAAATTCTTATTAAAAAAAGAAGATTAATCTTTCAAATTTTTTTCACCCCCGAATTTTTAGAAATAGTAATATATTCGATTGATGAAAAAAATCAGGATAAAGAGCAAAAACAAGATGTAAATAACTACAGTAATAAATACATTGATTGAAATCGTCGAATATTTATTCTATTTCAAAAACTGGTCCAAACACTTTTGCATCGATTCTTTCCTCGGCAAAATTCAATCCAATTTCACGAATACTTTCCCTTACTTCAACACCTACACGTACATATAAACCTCCCACGCAATTATTTCCATCCATATTTATCACGTTATACAGTTATCCCGTTTATTTATTGTACACCGAATATCCCGTTTCACCCTTAATTAACTCGGTCGTAAAGAAGAGGCATGCCTCTTCCAAATTGTTGGTGAAGAAGTTCTGTTCCTGTAGATGTGTGTTACCGCGCGAAACCGAGGAGCACAGGTAGAACAGGAGGGAAATCGGAGTAATCGGGGATAGTTGGAACACCTGGTAATACGGGTACGTGCGTGGAACAGCCGCGCAACGAGTCAATTAAAAGTTTAAGTTTAATTAGAAACTCGGCTCGTACACGGTGGAGGAACCACACATACACATACACACACATACGCGTGCACACAATCGAGCTCGATCCCCCTTAACGCCCCTCTTCGCTCGCCATTTCCGGTGAGCGTCTTCAGAGTTCCTTTTTCCCTTCCTCGAGTTCGCAATCCTCCACTTCCGATTCCTTCCATTTGATTATTATACCGACAACGTTCAATTATGCTGGTAAAAAGTTTGGACTAGTTTTGGGACTAGAATTCCAGTTTTGGGTGAAATAATTTTGGAAACGATTTCTGCGATACTTTGGTCGTTGAAGTTAAACTTTTTTAGATATTTTTATGTATTTAGGTTGGTATTGTGTAAGTTATAAAATTTTTGAGTAGGATAGAAAATTTGATTTGGATAAATTTTGAGGGTCTTTTATATTTAAATGTATTTTTGTTATTAATAGAATGGTATTTGAGTTTGGAGTTTGGATAGAAAATTTGATTTTGGAGATAAAGAGGATGAAGGTGATACTTTGTAGAATGTTGGATAAATTTTGAGATATCTTTTATATTTAAATGTACTTTTGTTATTAATAGAATTGAAGTTTGGAGTAGGATAGAAAATTTAATTTTGGACATATTTTATTAATAGAATAGTATTGGTTTAATGGGATGAGAAACTTGGTTCTGGATAAGGAATTCGTTTTGTGATCAATCAAGCTTTGAATTTTTTTGTTAATTTGAATAAATTTTGGTATCTTAAATATTCTTCAGAAATAATAATCCTTTTAGATGTATGAAATGGATCGTGTATAATTTTGTTTTATTAATTAGATTCTATTATATCACGCAATGGAATCAGATACATAGAGATGAAATAAAGAAAGAAATGGAATTGTCTATTTCTCACGTGCTTAACTTATCGAATATGTATATATTTATATCACTTAATATGATTTTTATAAACTGAATAATAAACGATTCGTCGATTGCGTTATGGCGTAGCCATCAAATTTTCAAATTTCGTTTCCAAATATGCGACGCATATTGAGTTTCCCGATGGGATCAATATTGTCTCTTGTATAGAAAATGGATTCTTAGGTATTGATACAACTCGTTTTTTGTGGCAAAAGCTACCTTTACAGTTCGATCTTCATAAAATCAATATGTATGCAAGTTTGTCTAGATTCATGGGGATTTGTCTACCTGTTTCCGTTCTTTGCAATCGAAATTTTCCAATTACCTGAGCAAACGTGGATCTAGAACACGTTTCGAATCGTGACAACATGCAAAAACGGATAGAATTTTTGCACTGACTTTAAAACGGCGTATATTTTTATGCATGACACGGATGATTTTCAAACTGGGGCAGATACAGGCCTCAGATATAGTCGTTGAAATAATTTGTCGATAGAAACAAAAAAAAAAACATTCCAACGCGATACTTTTTTTAAAACTATATATATTTCAATTAATAAACTCTTACAACTTTAATCTCTCGTGCAATTTGTTTCGAATAAATACGAAGCTCTTGTTACAAGATTTATAAATAATATAATTTACTCAAATCTTCTTTTTCCTTTCCAAGCTCGTCATCATCGTACTACAAAAAATCGATGTGAACGTATCGTAAATTCGTATCTAAATGTGAGTAAAAAAAGTTTTGTAGCCGAAAAACTTCGTCATCATCCTCGTTATGGTCGAGTTACGTACCATTATGTACACACGAAAATACCGCAAACGACGCACGTATACCGTCGTAAAACGTCGCCCGCTCTCCTTGACACCTGGATACACGCCCGAATAACAACATCTTTCTGTTTTCATTTTCTGTTTGTGTAGCGAAACGAAGGACCGTCGTGGTCGATAGCTGGAATTATTCGACAGTTTCGCGTCGAACATTAACCGTGGCCAAAGTGTGTAATATAACGTCGAACAGAATTTCCCTAGAGACAAATTGGTGCCGGTCTCATCGGTTCGTCTGTGTCTCGTGTACAGTGTATACTTTCTGTGTCCAGTATTCGGGGAGGGAGGGAGATAAAGAGAGCGAGCGAGCGAGCGAGCGAGAGAGAAAAAGAGGTCGTATATCTTGCGATCAAATTCGCGCGTGGTATTTCTCGAGTAATAGAGAGAGAGAGTGTGTGTGTGAGTGAGTGAGCGAGGGAGCGTGAAAGTGCGTATCGGTTTGACACGCGTAATCGGTTAGAGTTTGGGGGTGTTGAGGCGGGTTCAAACCGGAAACGACGAGTAATCCTGTGTTCCTCAAGGGTGAACGAGGCCGAGGGAAGGAGGCACCGAGATCCGGCCGCCGGGAGGACTCCTATGAAAATGCTTCAATCGTTGAACGCTCTGGCGGGTAAGATCTCGCCGGGCTCGCCGACCGACAGCAACGCGAACAAGGTGCACATGCACAACAATAACAACAACAATAACAACAACGTGGTGCATCATCATCATCATCCGTACTCGAAGCAACAGGCGCAGCAGCCGTCGCCGTCGTCGCAGTCGAGCAACGGCGACCAGAAGGAGAACACGTGAGTTTATCTCCATTATTTTATATCTCACGGAGATCGCGTATATATATATATATATATAGGAGAATGTGATGATGACATGAGAAGACGTGGGTGGGTAATTTCGCGCCACTTAAAAAGTTGCGTCGAAAAGGAGAAAAAGAGAATGTAATGAAATTTCTTTTTTTTTTCTTTCTTCTCCAATTCTTTCCAAGTTTCGATGATACTTGAGATCAAGTTCAAGTTGTTGACGGTTTTAAATTCGTTCATCGAGGCAGAGGCAGAAAGTATAACGTATTATCGTGTATCTTTATTACGAAAATTATGTTATATTCAGTTTGGAAAATATATATGTATATATTTATTATTTAGAAGGAAATTCGCGGAAGGAGAATAGAAATAGAATTATCGTTGGGAATTTTTTATCCCGGGAAACAGAAGGTTCGATTAGTCGAGGTTGTTCGATAAACAAGATAAGAAAATCAAAACTCAGTGTGCCGCGCTAGTTGAATTACGGGCGAGCAATGTCGCGGTAACAATGAAAATGCAATTTAATGCTCGTTACGGGCCACTTCCCGTCTACACCCGCTACTTTTTTTCCATCATCGTGTTATTTGCAAAAGCTGGAGAGTAAGATACTTCGGTTAATGGAAAGACTGTCCCCCGGGAATACACGATGCTTCCTCCTTGAGAAAAAGTCAAGTGAATAATAGCGACGATGCGTCCCCTAGACCTCTTTAAAATTGGAACGGTCTTCCTTAAATTAATTAATAACTCTTTCCC